GGCAAAGCGCCTGCCTGGCAAGCGCAAGGTCGTGAGTTCGGTTCCCGGTACCAGAGGAAAAAAAAAAAAAAAAGAGATGAAAGAGGATCAGTGGATCCCATGTTCAGTTTCCAGGAATTAAATTGGTCTTGTTTGGTCCTACATCAAAGACTAACAATGCATGGTGTTTACTTCTTTTCCCATAAAATATATTAAAAAATCTTAAACCTCTTCTGAAATGGGTGGGGACTTACTCCATCTAAAGCAAAAAGCCAAAACGCCTATTGATACATATTGTAATGGTGAGGTTTCTAATGGAAATTACTCTTCAATTAATGTGAACTTGGGCAAATCATATAACCATTTTAAGGCATGGTGGTGAATGCTTATAATCTCAGCACTTGGGAGGCTGAGGCAGGAAGATTGCCATGAGTTTGAGGCCAGCCTGGGCTATATAGTGAGTTCAAGGCCAGCCTGAACTACAGAGTGAGGCACTACATAAAAAAAAGTAAATAAAATGGATGTACTATAGGGTAAGTATTAAATAAGATGGAATATCTAAATTATTATCAGAACCGGGCATGGGGGGGCATGCCTATAATCCTAGCACTTAGAAGGCTGAGGCAGGAGGATTGCCTCAGGTTTGAGGCCAGCCTGGGCTACATGGTGAGTTCAAGGCCAGCCCAGACCACAGAGTGATACCCTGACTCAAAAAAAAAAAATTATTATCAGAGTATCTACTACATAGACAACATTTAATATGTTTGCTGTTATGGATTTTATTATTTGGATCAGGGCTGTCTAGGCCGGTCTAGGACTCTTGTTATATTTTTTAACATCTTTATCAAGATATAATTAACATATCATAAAATTTACTCATTTAAAGTCTAGGGTTCAGTAGTAAATTTGAGTCATGCAACCATTGCCACAACCTAAATTTAAAATATTTTCATCACCCCAAAAGAAGCCTAGTACCAGCTGGCTCACTGTTCCTCTGTTCTCAATTTTCCTCAGCCCTAGTAACCGCTAGTCTGCTCTGTCTCTCTGGATGTGCCTGTCTTGAAGAGTGCGTAGAAACTCAGTGATAAAACACATGATCATTCATGCTTGACCACTTAGCATGCTCTCAAGGTCCATTTATACCGTAATACTCCATTTCTTTTATTGTCATATCTGGCTGGAAATCTCCATACTTCACTACCCGTTCAATTGGTGAGCATTTGGGTTGCTCCCATCTTTTGGTTGCTATGAAAAATGTGTTGAATATTCGAGGCGCTTCTGTGTGGGTGTGTGCTTTCATTTCTGTAGGAATGGAAATGCTGGGTCATGTGCTAGCTGCACTAAATGATTTGGGGAACTGCCACATTATTTTTTCAGTGACTACATATATCATTTTACATTCCTAGTAAGAATGTTTGAGGGTTCCAATTTCTCCATATTCTCATCAACACTGTTGTGATTTTCCATTTTAGAAATTATAACCACCTTCGTGGGTATGAAGTTATATGTCATTGCAGTTTTTAAAGGCATTTTTCAAAGCATTTCTGACCATTTTCATGTGTTTATAGCCATTTGTATAATTCTTTGGAGAAATATCTACTCTAATCCTCTGCTCACTTTGTAGTTGGATTAATTGCCTTTGATTATTGAGTTGTAAGAGTTATTTATATCTTCTGAACGAGTCTTTTATCATATATATGATTTACAAATATTTTCAGTGCATTCTGTAGGTTGTCTTGATGTTATTTTTATTAATTGATAAATCTGGAGTAGCTCATCCTTCTCTGTTTATTGTTTCCATTTAAATACCTTAGCAAAATTGCATGTTTGTTCTTGGGTCGAGTTTATCTTCTGAACTGATGAGGGTTAACTCTCTTTCCAGCCTCTGTTTCTCTACCTGGCTCTCCAGTCTGTCCACGAGCCCCTGCAGGTCCCAGAGGAGTACCTGAAGCCCTATGACTTTATCCAGGATAAGAACAGGCGTCTTTACGCAGGAATGGTGTCCCTCATGGATGAAGCAGTGGGAAATGTCACTGCGGCCTTAAGAAGGCACGGGCTCTGGAACAACACAGTGTTCATCTTCTCCACAGGTGAGTCTGTCAATAGGAGACTCATCTCTTGGCAAAGCTGAGGACGTGGTTCGATGAGTGGAATGAAGACAGATTGCAGCGGTTAGTGTTTCCTTATTAAAATAAATGCCAGCTGCAGTCGTGGAGACGGGATCATAATGGATAGAAAGATGTGTCTCAGGAAAAGTAATTGAGGGCTTTTCCTCTTTTCCTTCAGATAGTGAACTATTCTTGGAGTGTGCTGAAAGTGCCTGCTTGCTGGCCAAGTGAGTGTGCATGGACAGGCTCACGGCAGGCGGCGGGGCAGCGGGCTGGCGCATCCCTGGGTGGCGTGGCCAGCTTGTCCCATGCTCCCTGTAATCCGGCGTCTTCCCTGCCTGTGATTCTGCTACCTGGAGGGGACAGAGTGTGACCTAGGAAGACAGATAAGAAACAGAGTCAGTTAAACCTAGGCTCGGGTCTTCAGGTATAGATTTTGGTGTATTAAAATAAGTCTTCTGACCATAAAACTCATACATGTTGATTATATGACAGAACAGAAGGGAAAGAAGAGAATTCCTAGTGTCAGCACCCAGAGATGACTTGAAAACCATTTTCACTTTGACAACGCCTTTCTGATTCCTAAGATGTTATATATATGATTTTTCCCCCTTCCTTAAACATAGATTTCTAAAATTTCACCATGGTGTACTTCGAGCCTGGACCTTTGTTTATTCCTTGTGCTGTGTATTCGGTAAACACTGTCTATTCAAAAATGCAGAATCCTTTTAAATGAGAAATTTTCTTGTAGTTCAGAGTCATTTGGTTGTCTGTTCTCTCTCCTGCCCTCTCTTTACAGAACTCCTACAGTTCGGATGGTAGATCAATCTGCTAATGTTCTTAGTTTTTTCTTCTCTTTTTTTTATAGTTCTGCTACAGTTTGAAAATTTTCCTTAGTAGTATTTTGAAAACTTTCTATTAAATTTATTTCAACCACCATGTTCTTTAATTACGAAGAATTCAGTTTTTGATAATTCCTTTTTGACAAAGTTTGATTTTTACTTTATAGATATAGTAAAGTATTTCTGTACAGCCTGTGCTTTAATGTGTGCATATGTGTGTTTGTGTATATATACATATTTCTGTGTAGTCGTGTATATATACATTTAAGTTTGCTTGTATTCTCAACATCTTCTGTCTCTTTAAAGTTTTTTTCCCAGTGTGTTTGTATATTTGCTTTAGTTTGTCTTCCATAGGGGGGCTTTCTGAAATTCCTAGTGATTCTTGCCCCCAACCTGAAAATTAGATTGGAAGCTTTGAATATGAGGTCAGGTCTCACTGTTGGGGGTTTGATTGTGAAGTGACCGTGTAAGAGCGAGAGGACATGGGGGGAATTAATCTTGGTTTCTATTTGTGATTTCTGGGTTTCTGTTGATTTGAGGATTGTTTTGCCTTGGTTTGCTTTTAAAATCAGGCAGGATTATTGAATGCAGCATTTACTGACATACAGGACACGGTTCTGAGTACTTCCCTTGGTTGCTTCAGCTAATCTTCACACTGTTTCACTTTCCGAGGGTAGCTTTTTGTCTCATTTTGAAGATATGAGAACTGAAGCATGGAGAGGTCACCTCACTTTGTCCATACCACACAGACGGCAAAGCCAGGTGTTGGCGTCTCTGGCCGTGCCGCGGTGTACCTCAGAGATGAGGCCCTCGTATTCCTGCTGTCCTTGTCGGGGAGCAGAACTTTCCCCCAGTGGGCTGTAAGCTTGGGCTGCCTCGGACTTGGCAGGAGGGTAGTGTTGAGTGGAACAGCCTTGCTCACTTGCTGTAGTGCCATCCATGCATTGTCATGTTCTGTGCTGTGTAAAAGGTTGAACATAAGATAAAGATTGGGCCCCCCAAAATGTATCCTTCCGACAAGTGAGAGACACCTTGTACCTAAATGCTTGTAAGATCTTTCTTCTGGTACTCCTCAGTTCACTTTTCTTTTTTCTGCTAATGAGACTTGAACCCAGGTCCTTGCAATGAACTACATCCTAGCCATTTTTTATTTTTGAGACAAGGCCTTACGAAAGTTGTCCAGATCGGCCTCCAGTTTGTATTTCTCCTGCCTCAGCCTCCCAAGTAGCTGAAATTATAGGCAGACACCATTATGCCTGGCTCAACTGATTTTATTTGAGAATCCTGGTATAATATTTTGATCATGCTGGTGTTGACTACATATAGAATTCTCTACAAAGAATCAATAAAAAAGGCAAGACATGTAGTGCTGATTTAGCAGTTGTTCCTGGGAGATGGCTCCACAGTTGTAAGACCTGGAGGCCATAAATTTATAAAACAAGTCTGTGTTGTAGAGCTCTTGGTTATACAGTTCCAGGACACAGATTTCCTGAAATGAAAGTACCTGCAGATTAATACATCACCTTCACATCCTCAGAAGTCAGGGTGGTAGCTCTGGAAGACTGTGTTAAATATCTCAAAGTGCCTCTTGGCAATGGAGATACAGGAAGAATGCATGGGAAGAAGCAGAATAAAATGTTTTCATAAGATGTGAGAATAAAAAAATATTTGAAGGTCAATATTTCTTTTATTACATAATTTCAAATATGTGTGCATAACTATTTTAAAAACAGGGAGTTGACTATTTCATAAATATCTATAACTTTTATTTATTCAGGTTGGCAGAAATAATATTTGAAGCTTCTCACTGAAAAAATGTTTTAACAATATTGTTTATGGTATATTAGCAGATACATTAATTGCAGGCCATTTTTGCCTTGTAGGGCTAAAGCCGACTTGATTTTGTAATACTGCTGGATGGAGTTGGCTGGGGCTTTATTTAGATTTTTTTCATTGTTCAGAAGTGAAAGTGGGGTTAGTGGCTTCCTTTTCTCTTCAGGTTTTGTTGTCTTCATTCACTTGATATAATACTTGGGCTTTTTGGTCTTCTTCTGTGCTCTGGAATAGTTTATAGAATGTATGAACCACCACTCTAAGGGAGGAACCATCTTTGGAGGTGTTTTAAAGATTATCTCCAAAGTTTAAATTTTGCTTATTTATATTTGGGTAGAGCTCATTAAACTTTAAAAAAAAATTTTTTAACTTTTAAAAAATTAATTTTGTTTGAAATATAGAGAGCCTTTTCTTCTGCATGCTAATATTACCCTTTACCTCAAGAAGTTGTCTGTGTTCATATTTTAGCTTATTACTTTTGTTCTGCTTGATTTATTTCTCAAAAAATGTCTTTACTAGGTTGAATCACTAATTCATCCTTTGTAAGCCTCCCACCTTTCTCAGCCTTCTGGCATTCCTATGCATGACCAATTAGACATTTTTTTGATTTTAGTTCTGGTCTTCAGGATCTCCAGTATACAGTGGTACCTCCGTTTATGAACTTAATTCCTCCCATGAATCTGGTCACCAACCGAATTGGTTGGGAACTGAATCGAATTTCCCCGTAAGGTCAACATTGAACCCAACCATTGAATTTGATCTGGTTTATAACCAATTTGGTTTTTGACCAGAATTGTGGAAAGAATTAATTTCTTGAGCTGAGGTGCCACTGTATGTAGATCATTTTTTCAGTTTCTTTCCAGGCCCTTATTCCTTCTTTGCCTCAGTCAGTTCCTTTTTCATGCAGCTTTCTAGTACTAGTAATGAGCATTGTTCATTAGGTCCTGACTGCACGCCCACGTCCTGCACCCTTGTTTTCCTTAGCTTTCTCACTGTTACTCATGGTGTGAGCATTAAAATGCAAAGTAACCTTCTGAGATAGTTCCTGATCCCCGTTTCACCAAAAACTGAGTAAATGAAGGGACTCACCAAATGAGGCATGCACAGCAGGCAGCATGCAGATCCACGTCTGTCTGAGGTCAGTACTGATGACTCTCGCCACTATCCTTTCTCTCCTCCCTTCCCTTTTTAATCTCATCCCATTGTCCATTGTCTTTACTTCTGTTCCCAGATCCAGCCTTTTCCTATCTGAATAGAACTTTTCTAAAATCTTCATTCTCCTGCCACACCATTAACAGCTATGTGCTTTCTCCCTGAGTATCGTCAGGAGAGATGAAGGATAGAGTCATGCAGGGCTCGTGGCTCTCTCCTGGCCACAGGTCTGTTGCCTGGTTGTTTCCTCCTCAGATCTAAAGCTTGAGGTCAGTTGAGGGGCACCGCTTGGCAGATTCCCTGTTTCCTTCAGGCAGTGCACATCCTGTACTCCCCTGAGCGTGCTTGGCCTGGTTGCATTTTCTGTTCTTCTGGCTGCCTGACTCTTTGACAGGCTAATGGAACCCCTGACTTCCTACCTCCCTTCAGGGCTCCATCTTTGGAGATATCTTCAGGCTACCACGCGCCCCACTGCTGGTCCTTTCTCTTCTGTCCATTGTCCTCTGGCAGTGAGACTTCTTCCTGCAGGAGGAAGTTGAGCTCTGCTTCTCTGGTCAGGCCAGAAGTCAGCACCACCCTCTCCTAGTCTGCTGTCTGCCCCTGTCCTGCCGGCTGGGGTGGCACTGTCTCCTGGGGCCAGGTAGCGCCGGTGAGCCCCTGCTTCCTTTGCCTGGTGTCTTAGGTCTTACAGTTCATGAAAATGGTTTCACGGTGCTGGCATCAGTGAACTGTCTGTCTGTCATAGTTTCTCATGTGTGATGGGTTTTCTTCTTGTTCTCTTTGTTCTTTCAACAGAATATTGGTTCAGTGAAGCAGCACTTACGGTAACTGGGAAGATACTATTTTAATCTGTACCCCCAGTGCCAGGACCCATCTTTCTAGTTGCTAAATTCTAGGAATGTGTATCAAAACCTGATCTTGAATGAAATGAGTTAAAACCAGAGCCAGTTCTTGAGCAGCAAGGTCATGAGTTAAAACTAAGAAATCTAGTGCTGAAACCCTAAAGAGAAAGCAGAGTTTGATCTCAGCACTTACATATTTGATCTCAGTCCCTGTTACACATTATTAACTCTTACCTGAATAACCACTTTGCTTTTGGGGCTGTGGGGCGCTGGGGACCCCTGTAGGCATTTTTTCCCCTGTTCTTGGTGTTAA